GCTGTCTTGTGTGGTGATCGAGGGGAGGTCGAGTTCGAGACAGTGAGTGAGTGGAAAGAAAAGCCACCAGGTCTTTTACTCGTCTCATTTTGGAGCAAATAGTCCTACCTTTGTTATATTTTCTCATATACTGTACCTGTACTGTATGCCGCAGTTTTTGGACAATATATTGTTGCACTTTGTTGCTTGTGTTGTCACCAATGTATGTTGTTAACATACCGTACTTGGACGTTCATACCGGACATATACCATAGTTATCTCACTGTTCTCATGAAAAAAAGTATGGTAATACTTGAATGCTTTTGTTCTGTTGATGTTTGGTATGGATTGTCAACATATACGTTTTTTTATATGTACCATATCTTGTGCTGACCCGGCCCACCTGTCAAATTTAGAAATCAATATGGCCCCCGAGCTAAAAAGTTTGCCCACCCCTGGGCTACACCCTGGACTGGTTGCCAGTCAATCGCAGGCCGGCAAAATAAATAAATATAAATATGGACAATTTCGGGTATTCCATGTTTTTGGAATGAGATTGATAGAGGACACCTGAGTACACACACACAAACGCCACAGAGGAAGGCCAGAGCTGGAAATTTAGTTTCTGCATAATTTCTCAGGACCTCAAATAGGAATAAGTGCACACTCTGTCGGTACATCAGGGAGTGGAAAAAGAAAATAACCAAAACAAGGGCGGGCCAAATCCTCACAGACCCTTCACATCCTGGTCACCACCTCTTTCAGCTCCTTCCTTCAGGTAGGCAACTATGTACACAAAAAACCCAGCAGACATTTCAAGAGCTTCTTCCCTTCTACCATGAACTCCCGAAACAATTCCATTGCCCTAAGAGTGGCTCATACTACCACAGACAAAGTCCTTGGGTGTTTTCGACATACGTTGCCAATAAAGACGATTCTCAAAAGAAACAATTGAACTTATTTGTCAGGGAATGAGTAGGTACTTCTCGGCCCTTCTCCACTTGGAAATAATAGAGCGGAAAACGAACTGAGATGAACCATGCTTGTCAGCTCTCTCAGTACTAAGTCTTTAGTGTTTGTTTCCCAAATTGTAGAGACTCGGTAACTTTAGGAACTGTTTGCAAATGTTCAATGAGCTTAACCCTTTCAGGGACAGCGTTTGCTTATCATGTTATCACGTTACAGGGTACACGAAAGGGTTACGATGGTCTGTTCTAAAAGTTGTGAAACCGCGGCATACGTCGGAACGGGTAACAGTCCCCCCATCGACTAAACTGAACGTTGTCCTTACCAGTTGCTGACCCCGCGGTCCCCAGCCGGCATACTGCAGCTGAGCGTTGCGCACCTCGGGCGGGTTCAAGTTCCACGTCTCCCTGAAGGCGATCAGACATTTTGAACATCGAAACATCAGAGGAATGTTTACGGTGCTCCCTTGGACTTGAATTGCGGGTCAAAGCCAAGCTTAAAAATCACAGAAAAATGCCGCTGTTTAGAAAAAAATTGTGCTGTGGTGACTTACGGCGTCTCAAGGCTGCAGATGATGTAGAAGGCCGTGTAGGAATACTGGTACACCTGGAAAAAGCCATTTTGTTGACAAAAACTATATTCTATGATGAACATCCACGGGGCGCTTGTGTCTTGCGCCTGAAGTAGGCAGCATTTTCACCGCCCCGCTTTGTTCAGCGAAAAGGTCAGTGCTGATGGACAGTCTGCGGCTGGATGGATGCATGGATTGAGGAGCCGACGATGAGAAGAAAGGAGCGTCAGCATAGAGCGCCGATGCGTATGTGGAACCAGGAGTCACGGCTTGGAATTGAAGCGGATTTACATGAGACAGGAGAAGAGAGCCAATCTCTTTTTCGTTAATGGATGCGACAGCTTCTTGTTGCTTTCAAGCTTAGCTTGTAGCAGGCGTGTGCACATTGCAGCATGACGTCTTTGATCCACTGGTGAAAAGGACACTTTGATTCGCTCCTCTTTCATCAATAACTGCTTCAGACAACAAAGTGTATGCAGGAAGGTGGTTAAGATTGCACGATTGTCTGTGTCTCATGTGTTGTCTTGTATTATTTTGTCATTTTTTTGTTAACTTTTCTTTTGATGGCGGCGCGGACACCCGCAGCGGCTCCTCTTGTTTTATGTTGAGAGGGAAGAAATTTCATCTGTGCTGTACAGCACATTTGACAATAAAGTTGTATTCAATTCAATTCAATTCAATTCAAACATTTCCCACCACCACCATGAACTCATTATGCTGCCTGGGGGGCCCCTCCGTCACGCTAACGCCTTAGCAAAGAATAGACGATCTCACCGGTGCCACGTTGTAGGCCAGCAGCACGTGCTTCATGTCGGGAGACACCTCGTACTTGCTGGCTTTGTACATCTCCTAGACGAGAGCAATGACATCATTAAGCACGCACGCCGCCGTTTCCTTTTAAATGAAGTCTTTAAACGTCCGACGCGCCGCTGCCCCAGATGCATTCGTCTTTGCGCCTCCTTGGAGATGTTTACAGGGAAAAAGCAAGCCGAGTATTAACCGTGCGCAGCACATTTGTGAGTCGTAATATTCGGTTTAATGAAGCATCAAAAAAAAGGGTGGGGAGGAAAATATTGCTGAAGCTGCGGTAAAATTAGAATGGAATTCCTCAGGCGCTCTCTCTTCCTGTGATTGGATGACTTACAAACTTCTTGTGATGCAGCAGGATGGTCTTGTCGTTATTGTCCACGTCCAAGAGGACCACATTGCCGTCGCGGTCACGGTACAGCAACTCATTATCTGCAGAGGAGAAGTGTTGTCTTTTTAAATTCGGATCAGCAATAGTCAAATGCAAGGAAACGAAGAGTTAAGTTTTGTCATAAGTAACGTACGGCTGTACGATTTAACGGCGGCACGTGGGTGCATCCAAATTTGTGCGAGCAGATCAAAGCCGTCAAATGTAACGAGGCTTCAGCGCGACCAGCTTTTGACGACTATTTTGTAATTTTTTTCATTTATTGGAGGCACTGGATTATAAAACGCAATCTACAATGCATCCACTAGATGGAGCTATGCTCCTTCCATTCGACTCGAGAGCCGTTCATGACCACCTCTGAAAAACGGAAATTAACGATTACTTCAATGAAACTACGAAAATTGAAAATAATGCATCAAAACAGAAAACTCAAGCGAGCAAATGACAAAATAAATTCTATAGCCCCCCCTACAGAATTTATTTTGGCATTTCCTTGAGCGTAGCTCCAACAGAACGATCAGTTGTCAGTAAAATGTAGGAGACTGGACTGTCTCAGAAGTGTTTATTTGTTCCTTTGTTGTGTACTGTATTCACAAACAAGGAAATCACAAAATAAATTACACCTGTTTATCTACAATTTATTTTTTATATAAATATTTGAATGAATCGTACGTTTGGCCACGCTGAACGATTCCTGCGCTTTTGTCAAATGAAAAGCAACCGCGTAAACCCCTCCGAGGAAGGAAGGCGCTGGAAGTTGACGCTGCTTGTCTTCCTCTGTTTAACAAGCCTTCCACGTCCACCTCCAGTCCAGCAGCTTTCCTATGCTAAGCCACCCCCCCCTTCACCCCCTCCAACAACTAATTAGCACCCGGAGATTGTTATGCGGCATGTTTGCTAGCTGCTAGCTAATTGACCATTAGAGGTGACTAAATTACCATTAGAGAGGCTTTGATTGGCAACGTGCTCGTGGGAGCAAAGGCGGATATTTTTAGATTATGAAAAGTCCCAGGACCAACCCCGCCCTCCCCGTCACTCTCCCCATTTCCTCGTCTCCTTGTTACACAAATCCAGCAGAATACTAAGAAGCTAACAATGAGCTCATGTATCGAAAGCAGAGTGGCTTCATTATGCGACTTAGGCTCGATGTGGCATGTTCTCCCCCAAGACCTCCTTGGAGAGAGCTGGCATTTGAAGGAAGACAAATATGCTCGTCGATGGGAGAAGGAACGGAAGAAAGCGGTTATTAAAAAAGCTGTCCGCACTAGCGACTGATGGGCAACTTTGACAGCATTCATATGGAATGCAACTTTTGAGTAGCCGTCCACTGCCGGCTGATGTGCAATTTCAATGTCATTCGTGCAGATGGAAACCGCTTTCAAATCAAATGTAGTGACGGATGCTCAAGTTTCACATTGCGCATATACAAGACGTCGACTGTCAACACTGATGTGCAAACTTTGCGATCATGCGCCATGTCACGTTTCGACCGCATGAACAATAACAATGTCGGAAAAGGAGAGATTTGCTTTTTTTTCAAGATGGAAATCCAGTCAATATTTTGAGTGTGTCAGATGAAGAAAATATTAAAGGTAGGTGGTGCACTCTGTGCTGTAGGCAAAGTGTTATCTAGCTTCAAAATCTTTTCCAGGATGTCCCAAAAAAAAAAATAAAAATCACTAAAACTGTAACTTAGTTACTTTTAAAATAAGGAGTCAAGTAAATTAATTACTTCAAGATAACTGTGGCAGCACAGGGAGCGACTCACGCACACTTTTGACATTGACCCTTTCAACAGCCGTCCACTGAAGTGCACATAAGACTAAAACGCCTTGATGAGCTGTCCACTGCGGTGATGCATGAAAATTAACACCACAATTATGACCATACAGTCTGGCTGAACACATTACCTCTGAAGGTGAAACACTGTGATCTGGATTAAGATCGTTGAGACTAAGTCCCTCTTCACAAGCGTCTGTCTTTCCTCCTCTTTTCATCATGATGCAGCGACTTTCTCTCAAGATGGTCCCCCCCCACCACCAAGCTGCCCTTGTCAGGACTTCCTCCGCCTCATCACTTCAGTCCTTATCATCTCTGCATCGCCTCCCAAACTCTCCATTCTCGCTTGCACTTCAAGGCCGGCAGCTGTTTTCACATATTTTCACACAACCTGAGGCATTGCCACTTCCCTTCCATCCATCGCTCTGCCGCTCTTTTTTTCCCGGCGAGCCTCGCCGGGGCGGCCGCGCCGGTGCTGTTTGCCACTCTGATGTATGGCTCCTCACATTGGCGCTACGTCTCATTAATACGGCGTCACGCCTCGGGCCACACACGCGGGAGGCGAGCACTGCGTACCTCACGGTTGCATCAATGGGTCTTTGTGGCACTTATTCCTGTTCGGCTCATGGGATAACAATACAACATGCTTCCAAATGTGCATCAGACGCGGCCGTTTGACTCTGATTCAAATCTTGACTTCAAGTGAAAAATGTAAACAAAAATTTGGAGTGGAGGGAAAAAAAAAAAAAAAAAACGCTAGTTCCTGCACACCTGGTAAGCGATGAAGCGAACCACGTTAAAAGGTGCACATAAAATAGCATTCTTCCCCCAGTTTCCAGATCATTTGCGTGACGCATCGAGGTCATAAGGAAGACGAGTGGTTGTGTATAAACGGCACGTAAAAGTCAGCGTGAATTATGCCGTCTATGCGAGCGCGCAGAAAGTCAACAGCAGGACTGCGATCTTCAATCCCAGCCGTCTAATGGCACAGATGCGATTCAAAAAAACACTCAATATCTTAAACGGCATTTATGTGTTATAAAGTAATATAAAAATAGCATTTTGCTCCCTTTATGCGTCAAATGAAAAAAAAAAAAAGGTTGCAATAGATTTTTTTTCGGACTGTTCCAGAGCCCGAGTGGAATTTCAATTCTTTGACAAATGAGCGCGCTAACAAATGAGCAAAAGGCATCAAATTATGAAACGCACCCCAGGCTGCAGTGCTGCTGGACACTTTTTCCAATGTTTTTAAAATCAGGCATGTCAATCAGCCTTCACTACCTGTCATCATTTTGTTACGTGTGGCTTGGCACAAACATCTGTCTTTGCGCTCATTTGAGACGATCACAGAAAGACTCAGCTATAACCTTGCCGTTCTTTGTGACAATTCGGTTGCTCCTCGACAATCGCACCATGTTTTTGTAGTTCAATGAGCGCCCTCGTACATAAAAGCATAAGCAAAGAGTATTTTTTTTTCCTGCATGCGTTGGAGGCCGCAGTTGCTTTCCTCATTACTTCACTCCCCCGTTTGTCTCGTTCCCTCGCGCCTGCAGACAATTGATGGCTTTCAAGCGCTTGTTGAAGGCTATTATTATGCGCTGGCAAAGCGGCGGGCCATTGTGCAAAAACGCATGAAAATAAGGGAAATGTGACAGGAGCGTTCCTGTCAAATACACAAAAACGAGTAAAAACGCAAGTGTTCAGAAACAGTCTGTCCCAAGTAGGTGTAGGGAAGGGAAGTGGGAATGAAGAAAGAAAAGCTAGTAGGAAAGGAATCGGGTTATTAAAAAAAAAAAAAAAAAAAAAACTCATCTGTCTAGTTTTTTGGAAGAAGAAAAAGCTCTCCTCGCATGAAATGACAAAAAAAATAATAAAACACTGGTTTTACATCTTTGTTCAAAGGCAACAATTTTCAGAAAGACTTCTAAATTTGTTATGAGTCACTCTGCTACAAATGTAGGACGCCTCGTTCGTGTTTATGTTCCTCCCTTTGTGTTAAAAACAGAACATGAATATTGACAGCTTGTTTCTGTCAGATGAAACGACAGCTGCACCGATATCGCTGCTTTTACGGGGTTTCTAAAAATGAAACGTTAGCATTCGGCTAGCATTCATCTGCCTGTCAATTAACACTTCAGCTAACTAACTCACTAACTTTAGTTTCATTTGGTTATTTCAACTAATAGAGTGACATATAAATATATTTTGTTTTTTTACAGTTAAAAAGCACTTCTGAAAACTGGTAAAGTCAAAAGCCAAGAGGCAGAAACGGCTATGGCGGATGGCATGCGCAAGGGTAACATCTTTGTTCTTAGTAGCTAGCGTAGCGCTGAATTTGAGAGGCACACTGATGCTTTTCCTATTCTTCCGTTTGTATTAAAAAAAAAAAATCACGCCTATTGACAGCTATCAAAAGAAAGACCATTTTTCGTCTCATACTGGGCATTTATAAGACGGAATATTTTGGTGCCACCCTTGACTAACGCGCTTGCTCCTCAACACTAAATCAACAGCGCGTGCTTAACACTTAATGTTTGTGCTAATTAGCTCTGTCTCATTGGCAAGAGAATGGCCCGTTGCGCAAAGCCATTAAGAGGTGACACTCGCGTCGTTACTTGTGTAGCGGGTAAACGAAAAGAAAGTCAATAAGATCAATGTGGTTTTTTTTGTTGTTCTGTTCAACTTATCCTCAGCTGTTTGCTGATAAACTCAACAATTTTGCGATTTTTTTGCGATTGCCGTCCTGACACCCCTTTAGGTGTCACAATACTGTCGAAGGCCTAAGTACCTTGGAAAGAAGCTTGTAGTTGGGTGTCAAAAGTCAGGTCCTAACCCGACTTTAAAGCGTTATTCCTACTTTGAAAGCTGAGGTTATCAATTGCCTGCAGTTTTTCAACTCTTCGTGGTCAGGCTTCACTTGCGTCATGACTTACAAGGACAAAACACGCATCGTGGTTACGGGACACTGTCAAAGTCAACATTGCATTGTGGTATCCGCAGCTGGCTAAGTGCGGAACTAAACGGCTCTCGCTTGCCGTATTCAAATGGCGAGCAGCTGCTCCAGTCCCAGCGAGGCGTCCCACGGGGGTTTGGCTTTCACCTTGGCGGCGACAGAATAATGTTGATGATGCGACGTCCCTGAACTGCAATCACCTGACTGCGCAGGAGATTTATAATGATGGCCGCCGCGCGCGCTAGCTCGCCCGCCACGCAAGCTGCAATTTCAGGCATCACGGCAATATTCTCCATTTTTTTTCCCCTGTACTTTAGCGTGTAATTCAGGTTTGTAATCAATGTCATACCCAAAATACTCCTGTAGGTGGCGGTATCTTTCACGGCGTTTTTGGTTTGTAGTATAATATTTGGTTTATATTCGTGTCACTGTTCTGCTTGCCATTTTGATTTTTATGAAAAGGTTGTTTTCTCCACTTTTTGGTCAGAAACCCAATGACTAAAGAATGGAAAAAGCTAAAAACAATCTTTTTTTTTTTCTAGTGAAAGAAGAGTCGACAGTACTTTGCTGTTTGATCACACATTCGGAAGACATACATACATAAAATATCAATTTCCCTCAGTATGTCCCCTTTTGGCAATTGATTACGATGACATACCGTGTGATCAACCAAAAATAAACGACATATCATCTACGAGCAATGACAGCTTCCCGGAACTGTTTTATTTTTTTATCCGGCGATCTGTGATAACAAGCGATAATCCCGTTCTCGCCACGGAAACCTGCAGCAGCTGTAAAAGTCCTTGTCGCCTTATCTCAAACGTCCCTGTGATGTCTCCGCTGCCCGATAAGACGTCAAAAAACCTTGCTTCTCTATTATTCAAATTGACCTTTTACGCGTCCATAATTCATTCTCTTTGAGCCGAAGCGGCTGCCTGAATATCAAGACTTTTCAAACCCGTGGAACTTGATGAGGGTGAACGCTAACATGCTAACACGTTGTACGCTGTAGAGAAATCATTGTTATAAAGAAAAAACGAGTAGTAAGAGAATCGCTAAAATGTTAAGAGTCAGAGTGGGGCCAAAATGTGAGCAGCTTGTATAAACACTTTTTTTTTTTTTAACAGGGGCAGCTAACCAAATATTTACTTGGCTGTCTAATTTCACACTTGAGAGCATGTTTAGATTCAAGCAATTAACACGCATAGTTTCCATAACATCCCGTTTAAACAAAATGATCATCATTAGCGGGATGTTGTTAGTGTGCCTTGCGTTGGAACTTATTTGACCCAAAAACAATAAACGGCTAATTGGACACCTCATTCCCGAAGAAGCAGCGGTCGCAAGAACGCAAGGTATATATTATTCTTTTGCGATAGCGACCATTAAAAGCATTCGAGTGCTCGTTTGGCGAGGAACGGATGAAGCGCAAATTCATTATTTTATCATCGAGACGCGCTAACGTTTTACACTGCGTGATGATCGAGTCGCGCCATCACTTCATTTAGCGTCTTAATCGTGTTAAGGAAAACATAAAGAGCGGCGGCCGAGCGACGGTCGCCGCTCTGATAATTCCATTTTCAGCCCTTATCAGTGGAAGCTGCGAATGCCCAAAAAAAAAAGGAGGCCAGGTGGTGGGGGTTAGAACGAGGCCAAATAATCTGCTGGGGGCTACATCTGCGTGTGCGCGCTATATATGTGCTGACAGCGTGACAGAAAATGAACGCATGTTTCATTGCTTAACTTATTCACCGCCGAACGGTTACAAAGCAGACTTCCTGCACTCACAAGCCGGGCGAGACCCTCTCCCATGCCGACCTAACGTAAGACATACTCGATGAATGCATTCTACGTCATTGGCAATAAACGGTGCAGTCCAGTTGACAAATAGAAACATCCACGGCAGTGAACAGGTAGTGAACGTCCACCTGATCATAAAAGATTAAGTTGGACGTTAAGTTCCCCCTTAAAGCTGTTCAAATTAGCCCGAGATTTTTTTCTTCGCCGAATCCTTTGCTGAAAATGCGACCCAACGATTTTGCACCGCTTGACTCTCATATTTAAACGCTAGCGGAGATAATAACATCTCGTACGGTTCAACCCCGCCTGCCGCGCGGCTTCTGTTCAGCTCGACACGGAACAGATGTCGGGCTCCAGATGTGTTAAGAGCACTTTGTTCTCCGCAAAGCCCGCTGGAGCACAATGGATTCGCATTTGCGGTGGTGCCAAAAAAAAAAAAAAAAAAGGGCCGCCGGGGAGGCGTCTCATGCCTCCGCAACATACGGCGAACAGAGGTCGCGATCACACCAACGAGGCCCAACAATCACGGCGCTCATCGGCGTGTCGGATGGGCCGCAAATGGGGAACGAGAGCCAATCAGTGGGGCCGGTTATAATCGCGCGACCCTCCGCCGCGTCGGTTAAAAAGAAAATCAGCCTCGTTATCCCATCACGTCCGGGGCGTAGCGATGCCCGGTGGCGCTTTTAGCGCGGAGGAAAATCAAGTCTATAATTTCCGCCTCCTCGCCGCCGGTCCCCTGCAGCCATGTGAGTGTTTGCGCCGTGGTTTATTTATTGCGGCAATAGCGGGCGGCCCGCACGCCTCTTGCGGGAGAAAATATGAGTTCGGCGCTCACAGGTAATTGGACGTGCAGAAGAAACGGCTCAGACGCAAACGCAAAGCCGAGTTCCGCGACGGACGAAACGGCCGCCGCAAATAGAAGACACTTGGGCATGCCCGTTTTATTGTTTCGCAACCATGTTTGACATATTTCTTGGGGATCATTACGCGACGCGACAAACGACATGCCATTTGGAATGCAAAGACTTCGGTTTAAAAGCATTCTTCAGTTCTAAGTGTCCCGAAATTGAACTTCGGAATGGCAAGACCTAATGAAACAGTCGGTATACGTGAAGACATTTTTGTGGCGCACTTCTGGACCCTCAAGGCACTTTCCTGCCGTCACCTCAATCAGCTGCTGCGCATCAGGAGAAACTGGTTGACTTGATTTACAAGTGAGCGTCTTATCTCGGACGATCCGCCTACCACAAGATTGCATGTGATTTGCAGGGGGAAAAAAAAAAGAGGGGGGTGGGGGATGGACATCAAATGTTTTGGTGCTGATTTTTACGAGCACAAGACTGAGAATCGATCAGGCGTTCAAGACGCAATTGCAGGCTGACAACAGGCGATGCTCAAAACCTTTTCAGAGTTGCGCGTTACGGTTGGGGGGAAAAAAAAAAAAAAACGGCCTTTACCGTACACAATTAGATGTCAAACGCTTCCAAAAAACTGGCAATGATTTCTCAACACATCGCTGCACTCTAAACCAAGACGGGAAAGGCTTCACCCTCAGGATGAAAATCCCAATTATGCAAACCACTGAAGCAGCCCCTTTTCCCTTCCGAATGTTCGCGCGGCCAAAAGAACCACAATTTGGGGTCCAGATGCAAATGCCCTCCAAATCTTGCCGTTCGGTCAGATTCGGCGGGCTCGACATACGGCTCGTAAAAAGAACGGTTATGTGAAAGCATTAGCGTACTTACTGCTGATCCATCGAGCCTTGGGGTCGCGGATCCTGAAATCTTTTCCGAAAAGGTCCTCGATGCTAACTTTGCCCTTGAGAGCCAGACGGTCATCTTCACCTGTAAACGCAAAGAAACAAACACATTTTCGGCGGGGTGGGGGACATGAGCATGAATATTTTACTGTCTGAATTGCCGCCTGAATCTCAACAGGTACCTGCAGGCTGCAAGTGTTCAAAGTTTACACACACAGGAAGCATGAGCCGCCACAGCTACCGCAAACTCTTCATTTCATCTGCATTTTCATTCGACATCGCTTCCACACACGAGACTGGAAGACGTGATTAACCTTTGGCTGCTTTTTTCTTTAAAACACATTTGGCTGGGATTTATTTCCACCCGCGAGGAATCTCCTGGCAAGACAAGGCAAAGCAGCACTTTGGGATCAAAGTTGGCGTGGTATCGGCAGGAATCCGTCAGCTTAATCGCAGCTGTCAGTTGGCGCGGGCGAGGCAACATTTCGTCTCAAGTCTTCTTCGCCGGAGCGTGTTAAAAGACGGCGGAGGCGAAGGAGGGAGAGGCTTGCGAGAAAGTTGCTAATTACACAGGTGGCTACGCTTCAGCTCAAAATGTTTGCAGACAGCAAAAAGCAAAAACATGATCTGAAAGGAGCTGATTCAGCAGAGTTGAAACGGCCATATTTTGCATGGATTCTCAAACTTTAATGACTGTGACCGTGTAGGACCGGGGTGTGCAATTATTTCCCCCCCGGGCGGCCAAATGAGAAGCAGAAAATATTGTGGAGGGCCGGGCCAAAAGTTTAAAATCTACTCCGGTTATCAATTGTATTTTTGCGTTGAAATAAGTAAATGACATTGTTTACAGAACAACACTTTCTGATTTTAACTTTCCATGAAGACACCACAATGTCTTTGTATGCCAGAAATGTAACATTTTTTTGTCGCAACTGCCAAACAATGCATTAAAAAAATCAGAGTAAGCATGTTTCAGTGGGTTTTTTTTTTCTTGTTCAGTGAGTTAAATCTCGCTTCTGTTGAACTTCGACAAGTGCATCAAAGCAGGTTGAATATTTGAGGTGGAGATGTGAAGCACACGCGACAGATGCTAATCTGAGAGATGGTTCGACAAATGCAGGTACAAAAGAGGGTTTATACCTGCATTTGTACAACTTTTTTAGTTGCTCCGGACATATGAGCGCTGCAGAGTCCGCCAAGCACTAACGAATCCCCCCCTCCGAAAACGGCTTCGTGTTCTTAGCGATGTTGTGGGCGATCACAAAGCTGGTGGTGGTTGCTGCTTCCCGGGCTGCGTGCAGCTTGGTAAATTAGCCTTGTTGTTTATCGAGTTTCGCGAGCAAATCTTCGGATATCTGCGCTCTCTCAGCCTCGGTCAATTGTCTGTATTTATCCGCATGCTTCGTCTCGTCACGCCGACGCACGTGATACAGATTCAAGATGGCGCCCGGCTCACCGCAAACGAAACTGACTGACTTCAGTCAATGAATATTGAAAAATCCGTATTTTCTTGAAACCACGGCATTCGGTGTCCATCTTTTTTGGGGGAGGCGAGGGAGGGGGGGTATGGGCGACCATTTTGAAGGACTACCATGACCGTGACTTACTGCTAAATCACTCGGACGAGGCCAGAGTACACCTGTACGGAAACGACGCACGCACACCGGAAGCAAGTTTCAAAGTAAAAGTTCTGCTGTTTTAGTCCACGCACTCTGAAAACATTTTGAAAGTTGGTTTTAATTTCTTAATTCCAAAAAAACGTTTCACAGGCCAGTAAGAGCCGGGCCGCGGTCCAACACGCATTATCCAAAAATTTTAAAAGTACTATAGCTTTTATTTTCATAATTCCAATCAACTCTTCTGGGGGGGGGGGAGCGAGTGAGAGCTGTAAAAAGCAATCTGGTATGGGAGGAGCAAATTTGCATGCATAAAAAAATAATAAAATTAAACAACTTCAGTATGTACAGGATAAATTAGGGTCAGGACCCAAGCTGCAAATCCAATTTTAAGTTACCAAAAGCAGGACCTTTAATGGTATGACCCACATTGACGAGACAGTAGACCCCAAAAACAAGACTGGCTCAAACTTGCAAGCTCACAGATGGCATCATTGAGATTTTCCACCACAACAACTCGCTCCAGTACACAAGCTGTGTTGACTATTTCATATTAACTATGTGCTCAGTGGGTTATGATGCAGGTTTATTGTAATGGAATGTGATATTTTGGGGTTCCTCCAGAAATGTTATCTCCACAGCGGAGCATCGAGTGTGATTGCCTCCTAAAACCCATTGAATCGTGTTTCATTTCAGCCTTTTGGCTTTGGAGTGAGAGCCCCCAAAACATCAAAGAGCATCTTGAGTGATAAAACCAACATAGTGTGACGCCAAATGCACTATCTGGGTTGAAAGTTTTCAGGAGTTTATGAGGACAGGCGAGCGGTAACTCATCTTGGTGCAATGACACGAAGATGTGAAAGTAGCAAGGCGTCAGACAGGAAAATCCAAAAGGTGCGTTGTGGTGGCGGAGGTGGTTTGTGTATCAATGTGTGTGTGTTGGTGTGTCATATTGCATCTAACAGATGGACGCGCACCCGCTAATCCTCACCGACGTCTTAACGGAAAGACAAACATCTTTAACGGCGGCTGCTGCTGCTCGCCACCGATAGATTATCTTTCGAGGCGAGTCATGTCAGATGGTGAGGTTCGAAGGATAAATGACGCATTTTTTTTTTTTTTTAGTCATTTACGATAACCAGATGTGCGGATTAAACCGCCGCCGACTTGGACAGATGACTTCGTTTTTATAAATAGCAAAGAACAAATCCCTTTCCGTGGCGAAGGTTCAACCCTTTATCTCAAAATGGGTGCGGCGTCAGCAGTTCATATACGCTAATGCTATCGCTCACTGACCTCATTTTCAATACGAAACAAAGCGGCTCATCTGGAAGTGTCTTCATGCGCCAAGGACAGGAAGTGACTTATTAATTAAATCCGAGACCTTACCCGAACAGCACTGAATTTTCAAGGATTATCTCAGTGTGCGTTTCTCCCAGATGCGCAATTTCCAAATCATTGTGCTCAGTCAAACCAAAAAAGAAAAAAACATACTGGTTTGGAAATACGTCAAAATTGAGCTGGATTTCTTTGGACAAAGTTTAGGAGTCATTTTGCGATGATGTGATCTCCTCTGTGGAGTTATCGAGCTCATGAAGGCCAAAACACACGTTTCAAGGTCAACCTTAGCTTCCTGGCTAACAGCGCGAGAAGGATTCTTTGACGTTCGGACTTTTATGAGCCACCTTGGCCAAAAGCGATCGTTGGACAAAAAAGGACAGCGGCGCTCGCTCATTCTTTGCATTGTTTGCGCTCCGGTTTATTGGGCAGCTAATGGCCACATCTGCGCAAAATGAGTCGCGAACCGCCGACCCCCCACCTCCATCCTCACCCCACCCCAATGTGGGCGTTCTGTGCAGCATACCTGGCGTCAACAGGATGACGGAGGTGACGATCAGCGAGCAGATGACCAGAATGACAAGGAGGGCAATCGCTATTCCCTTCCAGTTCCTCTGCGGCGGGTTGCTACCCACCAATTCCTGCAAAGTGGAAGAGGGGAGGAGGGGAAGGAAGAGAGATGCATTGTGGGAGTCAATCAGAGTGCAATTTGCGCCGAGATGAAGACAGGATGACAGAAAATTGAAAGGAGCAGTGTGTTGGAAATAAGAGACGAGTGACTCCAAGACAATCGCTCGGGAGCGAACTAGATGATTCAGAGAAGGCACAGTAAAGGGGGCAGGTGGGTGGAAGGAAGGGGAGGGTGCAAACAGTTGCCGCCTCGTGTATTTCAAGGAGAAAAACAACGGTGGCGGTGGGAGGAGGAAGATGAATTTACCTAATGATCCGCGCACGGGGCTGCCGACAGATTTGGCAAGCGAACGCAACCTGTGACACATCTGCGCAGTGAACGCGTCGCAGCAGATGAGGCCAGTCGAAGTAGCGGGGGGGGGGTCCGGGGGCTTGTGGTTAAAAACAACCTTGCAAAAATGGGAGGGCATCATATCGAACACATGTGTCAAAGTCAAGGCCTGGGGGCCAGATCTGGCCCGCCACATCATTTGATGTGGCCCGTGAGAGCAAATCAAACATGTCAAGTTCCATGATGCTTGCTAAAGTCTGAACCAAAATTTCAAATTGTCATATGTAATCAACAATAACAGTGATTATTTTTGACGTCTGTTTTTAAAACTAGTTATCCATCAATTGAAAACATTGATATGGTTTCCCCAAAATTCATTACGGCCCACCAAGGGAAACCGGAACTACAATGTGGCCCGCGACAAAAATGAATTTGACACCCCTGATATAGCGTGTTGCCCTGACCGTTTGGTACAATTTTGTATTAAAAATTAAAAAAATGTTTAATGCGACATGAACATAGCACAAATCCCCCAAATACTAAGAGGAGAAATTGTACACAGCGAAATGGAAGGTGGTATATGTGCTCAAGCTGCGAATTGCGAAAATCTGAAAGCACCTATTGGCTTGTCTGAATTAAGCTCCTCCCCTTTCGTATGCCCCCCCCAAAAAAATGTGTTTCTGGTTGAGTGAGCATATATCCAAAGCATTTCGTAAATTGTGTTTGTGTTGTGTTCCAACTGATGGTAAAGCACGTTCCAGAGTGCAAGCTTTGGTTAAGACAACCCAAAAACCAAAGTTGCAACTGGAGTTCCTGTCAAGAACTTTTGAAATCTCACTGTAACTACACCAAAGCCATTAGCTATGATAATTTAGTGGACCTGAAAGGATCTGGAGCCCAAACCCCTGTTGGATGATGATGGTGAAGATCCTAAATTGGTTTAGAGCACCACTCGTAGCCTCCACGCCTTAATTGAAAAGGAGACCGAGGAGCCGTTAGCCAGAGGAACGGGACCAGTCTGCCTATTTCACAAGCCTGTTATGATGAAAATTAATTGTAAGCCAAACTAAACTGGAAGGAACACCAAAAAAAAAAAAAATTTAGTTAAACGGTTGGAGGTGCAATCAAGAAGCTCAGTTGTCTCTATCACCACCACATGCACGCACATACACACACCAAATTCGATTCAGCAGTAATTATGTGCTGATCTACTGCTTCGGGAACAAAGCTTCTTTCAATTTGACTGGAAAATCCCACTAGAGAGAATGTGAGTCACTTTGCCAATGTTGTCATTTACAGCGAGTGAATGCGACGAGTGTGTGCGTGACAGGCAGAAAAGAAAAGTGTGTGTGGGTGGGGGATATGGCGAAGGGATTGTCGAGAAGAGGAGCTACACTACTTTGGTGTCATTATGGGGTGTGTGCAGAGCGTGACAGCAGCTCGGTGCTGATTATTGACATTTATTGGGCTTCTTTGTGCTCGTCTATAAATAACAAGCAGCTGGTTGCACGTTGGCTTGTATGCAAATTGCGGAACAAGGATTTGTCACCAGAGCACTACAAAGTCCACGCTTAAGACAAAAACTCCGCCCCCCCACCCCAAAAAAATGTTTTTTTGTTTTTTAACCAAATTACGATCATGATTTGAATTTGATTCTCTTGCTTGAAAAGCAGCATGTCGGGTCCACTGAGACGTATAGCCGTATGGATTACACCTGATCTTGATAACCGCGCAAAGCGACACGCACGCACGCACGCGCGCTTCTTTGCCATTCTGCGCACATTCATCTTGTCGACAAAAACCGTGAGAGCCTTTCCGCCCGTTTCATCACATTTCCCAGCAGTTCCGACGTCGCCGTCAGCGAGCGCAAGAGAGAGGCGACGTCTCGGCAAATGTGATTCGCACAAGCGCAGATTCGCTTTCATCGTTACATTAAACGTGCGTCATGATGGATTGCCGCGCTCGCCGGCCCGTGGATTTGCGCCCGGGTGCGAGGGGGATCTTCGAGAAAGAGCAGGAGACCACGTAGGCTATCGTTTTCTGCGTTGCAAGTGATTTCCTATGAGACGCAACACCGGTATTGGAAAAATAGTTTTGGGGGATTCAGCTTGAAGTCAAATTTCCAGGTTTCCCAGGAATGATACGCAACAAAACTGTATTTTAAAATAACGTACTTTACCCTCAAGGGTCTTTCACCATACACTGGCCAACGGCAGTTTTTAATTTTTTTTGGCGCTTTTGGTAAAGTTTTAAATCCATCCGTGTTCTATCCTACCAGCTAGCTAGTGCTAAGCTAATCTGGGAGAGTTTGTCTATCCGCACCAGTGCCCGAGTTTGCAAACTCTCTTTGTGCTTGGACGGCAACGAAGTAACGACAAAGGCATTGACGCACTGCTGGGATGGTCTTTGTTGGCTGATTGCTTAACCATTTTGATTTAATGCTCATTATCTGACTAAACATTCGCATACACGCGCAAACACTTCCGGGTCAACAATTTGACACAGCCCTCGCAACAGTAGACACTTTGCTTTCAATTTTGGACAGACTTCTATATAAGACCAAAAAAAGAAAAAAAAAAAACAAATCAAGCCCAGTGACTGTAAGAAGGATAGATTGTTTTTGGTATTCTCCTTGTTGCGGCGCAGCATCGTGAGCATGAAGAATTGAAAAGTAACTTCTTTTGTTCTTATCATCTTCCCACTTCATTCTGTGACGCGCCGCCGTCTCGCCGCTACCGCCAAAAATAAATTGCCGTCACGGAAACAATGCACACGCGCACACACAAACGCGCACACTTCCCCTGAAATGAGATGCGGCAGCATACTAACATTTCTGGGCGCAGGGGTCTCATAAAAAGCCACCCCTTGCTCATGTTTGCTTGGCTTAATGTATTCTGGCCGGCTGTTTTTTTTTTCTTTTCTTTTTTAAATCACCTCCTCAAACAAAATATGAACATCCACGTGAGAAGAAGAGACACTCAAACGCTTATCGCCGCCATTATTGTTGATTGAAGTGCTCTCCGGATGGTAGAAACTCAGACACTTATGAGAAGACATTTTCTCTCTATTGATGGATGAACAAGCATCCAAAAACAAAGAAACAAACATCACCTGGTGCCCGACTTCCTGTTGCTACTGTTGCGGGTGCGCACATGCGCTAACCTGCACTGTGAGTGACGCCGATTCATCAAGTGTGGCATTTTTTACATTTGCCGTGAACCGCGTCATAACTTCTCATGATTGCGGGACACGCTTTCGACGAACGTGTTGGTATTTCTCTCCCTCAAGATGAACGTGACAAGCCATAGAAATGCTGCCTTAAGATGGCACCCAGGGGTAGCACATTCAATGAATTGAGCAGGGCCCCAAAACGGAATCTTGTGGAACACCGTAAAGTGGTGTAAAGTGGCTAACAAAAAAAGTGCTGCCTGCTAAACAAGCCAACAGAATTTTGCGGTTCACTGTATTGAACGTTGCGGTCAAGTCCAACAGGACACACACACACACACACACACACACACACACACACACACAGAACAACAACTTGAGATCAAGAGGTTGAACAACCAAGCACAACTTCTACGAACAGGAAGATTCTAATCAATATGTACAAAAGTTTGGCCTTTGGGGTGAGTTAAAATTTCACGACGAGCCGAAAATAAATGGGAACCTTTATATAGGAACTAATTTTGACCTTTAGAATCATTCCTACGGAAAGGGCTTACTCGCCGAACATAAAATTGTACAGAACTGAAGTTTTTAAAGTTTTCCACCCCCCCCCCCGCCTCTGCCTTCTTCAGTCTCGCCACCACCACCCACAGGAAGTGTTCTCTTCCCCGAGAGCCGTCGAGTGCGCTGTCAGACGGCGGGCAGGCCGAAAGTTCACAGACGTGACGCTCACTAGGGATGGCGCGCATGCAGCCGGCGTGAAAGTAAAACATTCTCTCCATGAAAGCGGTGGATGGCCACTGCTGTCGTGCAGACGCGGGGGAACACTCGATCAATACGCGGCGGAGAAAAGCTGCCTAACGAGGTTTTTGTTGAGTCGATAGCGTCTGCCCGTGACTGGAAGCTGAGCCTGTCAATGTCGCTTTGTCAGCTCCTTATCTGATAGAAAATCTTTCACGAAGGTGGCGGAAATAATGATGGTTCTCTTGTCACGAAGTGTAAGACGAGAGGCACAAGCGATTGCATGAACAAAACAGGGAAATTTGGCAGAACGGGCGTCTTCACGTGATCGGGTAATCAGCTGGTGAAAGAAGCATGTGGCTCATTATTTTCCATCATATTGTCAGAAGAGACTGCACAAAAAAATGGAAATTTATCCGAACCGTCTGCTACATGAGATCGGATGGCGATTAATTGTGCGCAAATATAGCCGAGTCCTGAACCTGAGCGCAACGCCATGCTCGACACTCTTAATAGCTGGTTGAAGCAGTCGTCTGACAGAGCATTTGATACCGCCTAATTTTACACTCTCAGGGTAATTAAATCTCTACGACGTCATTTTGACAACTTGAAATCCGGCCAAACTGAAGCATTTTCCTTCCCCGAACTGCAGCCTTTATGATTTGAAAATTGCATTCTACTATACCTATGATGTCAAATTAAATTCGATTACCGTATTTCCCATAAGGCACACCTAAAAGCATTCCATTTTCTCAAAAGCCGACAGTGCGC